ATTCTCGCACGCGATGCTTCGAAATTTCATTCTGTTATTGAAAATGACTTTCAATGAATTGTAACCGAGCAATGTATACGTTACGTGAAAGTAACGTAAGACTGATGGACAGTTTCTTGTTCTAATGATACACTATGTTCCTATAAGAGTGGGTGTCGAGTGAACGACACTTTGGATTACAGATTACACTTAATTGGTATAATATAATTTGTGATGTATTTTTACAAGACTGAAACAATTTAAATTAGAAGCCAGAGACATGTGGGACGAATATGTCTACAAATAAACCTAAACTGTCCGTCAGTTTCTATAATAAACTTATTTCTTCTGCTTCTAAGAATATCGAATAGTTGAAATATGTTTTACATATATATTTAAAGTTAAAAAGCAAAAGAAATTACAATAATTTCTTGTGTCATACGACAAACGATAGGTACATAGTCGTAACGTAACACGACGTAATACCGACAGACAATAATACCTAGGTAATGCACTAAATACGGAAATGGAAAATGCATTTAATGCATGCGAATACTTTCAAACCTATAATTAATCCTATTTTAAAAATGCATGCAGTTAATTTTAATATAAAAACTCAATAAAATGGATTTAATAATTTTATGTCAGTAGTGTCTTTCTGAACACTTAGCAAAGTCAAAAAGATTTTGATTGTTTACGAAATAGCGACTAAAATAGTTTTTTTGGATCGGTCACTATTTTTCGTTATAGGCGATAAATCTATTCATACTGCGTTATTATTATTACTTCGATCTTTGGACATTTTGAAAAGCGTTATGTAGATTCGAAGGTTTCTTGTGAACCGTTAAATAAAGTAATAAATATAATCCAAACCTGGTGACCTACGCAAAAGCCTATTAAAGATATCGGAAGGTCATTTATTAATTTATTAGAACATCCGCATTTTATTGTGTGTGAAGGCAACTTGGCCTAGACCGTCTCAATACCACCATATACGAGCTCGTGGGGCTCATAATTATGGTAATGTTGCTAATTAACTGGAATATCATTGACCAACTTACTAAAGACGCGGAATGCTAACCTTCTACCTTGATAACATAGTTTAGATCACAATATATGGAACATTGTACTTAGCAAGGAAATTAAGTTAGTGTACGTGATGATTAATTATTTTTAAATTAATAAAATAATACTTGCCTCTCACCATAGCTTATTCGACAGACCCATTTCAGTTATTGTTAAACATGTGGCGGAATATATAAACGTTATGTTTTCGGCAATAGTAATCAAAGGAAAATTTGTTGATTTCATACACCGGACCTTACATTCATTGTCAGTATTGTATGATATGAATTTCAATGAAATTTTAAATGCTGAAATATATAAATTATGCCGATTAAAGTGATAAGTATTTAGGTTATATAGATTATGTAATGAATGTAGTATTTGTGTCGGCGATAATGAATTGTAACATGAGGTGTCGTCAGTTTTTATAGTGGGAACATGCATTTTTACTTGTGTCTCTGTTAGTTTGCTAAAGTTTATTTGAATAAACAATCATTTGACCGCGTTTTTGATAATCTTCTGTTAAATGACAGAAGCTCGTATTTTACAAACGCGTCTAATTTGAAAAAAAAACAGTAAAGTAAAGTAAACAAAAAATTTTTGTAGGTTTTCGGGCATATTAACAAATCATATAATTAATTAAAAATATTCTCTATAAATATCTACTTCACGATATGGATCGTGAAGTGTAGAAGCGAATAGAAAAAAAAAAATTTGTTCTGTAGTCTGTAATTTATTTAAATTGAAATGTTACTTCTGATCCGCTGATAGCCTGAACTACATTGAGGATTATCAAGAACATGTTATTTTTATAATTTAAACTTTTCTATTTAATTCCTTTGATTATATATTCATGGCATATATAATTCTGGCTTAAAAACTAAACTTCCATTTCTTTATTATATCGTCCTAAGTGAAGTAAGATATGAGCACAATGATTTAAATTTAAAACTATCACCTACTTACCTATTTTCGTAACAAAGTTACGCTCTTTATATTACTAAATACGATTATAAAATTAAATAAAATCAAGGTCCTTAAGATTCTAATGCAATCAAGAGTTTTACTGACACAATTTTTTGGTTGTTTATTATTTGCATTTTAAATAACATAATTGTAATGATTGCGCATTACTTGAACAGAAATTTAAAAATTCATGCCGTTAGGCAGGAAACTGCATTTTTAGTCAAATGGTCAGCACATTGGACTGCGTGGTCTTAAGCGGGCCATAGACGGACCGCATGTTGCAGTCAAGACCGACTGCAACATACGGTTTGCTCAGGAACTGCTCGAGCGGTCCGTGTATTGCGAATATGAATTTAGTATGGAAACTGCAGATCGCCGTGCGGCGGCCGCTTAGAGCAGTCGGTAACGGCTGCAACATGAGGTCCTTCTATGGCCCGCTTTAGTGTCAAATACCGGGCGAACTCGAAAAGTGCAATAATTTGCGATTTATTAAAATAGTAGTCTAAGTTAGGAACTTGACCACATTGGAACACCACCTTAGTGCCTCAATCAACATCCGTTGCACCGGAATCCATTAGGATACAAAAGTTATTTAATAGGTCTGGAGAACTGTTTTAATTCACGAAAACGTCATTTTACTTAAAAAATATAAATGCGCTGAATTTATAATAAGCATGATATATTTTTAAATTTTTTATATTAACATTTTATAATAATAATAAAAAATATTACTTCAAAGTAATTCAAATATTTATGACTGACAAAATATTCACGCTATCGTTTCAATATCATAAGGTTCCCAATACCGCAACAAATTTAAATTACCCATTGTTTAAGATAATAATTAATATTATCTTATCTTTTAAACAAACAGCTTCTTGAGTAAGGTTTGATATAATTTATCATCGCTGAGAAAATGTAAAAGATTGTGTGAATGTGTTACGGACAAATTCTTCTATAGCGCCTTGGCTTGGCCTCAACAGTCTCACGTTCATATTAACGTAGTATATATATATGTATATAGTATGCGATTTCAAAATAACTCGGTTAAGACATGTTAGCAAAAATTTCGGAACCAACCTGTTGTTATTAAGAAATAAATTATAATATCTTAATTCGAGTTGAAATACTTTATTTATGTTTTGAATTTGAGAATTCTTTTGATCTTCGGGAAGAGAGTGTTTTAGTTATATACATGATCGAATATATGATAATATTACACTGTAATGATAAATGTATGATTTCGGTGAAAATCCACAGAAACAGACAGTATATTTGATTATATTTAAGTAACTTCGATGGCCCCTTAGACCTTGACCTGGTCGAGCCTTCAATCAAAAGAACCTTCAATCGCCATATATCAGTTAATCAATCGCTGGTTAGAGTTTTGAGAAAAATGGTTTTGTATTGGCGAAAACAACTATTAGTACTTCGAATTTAGACGTCATGAGAAGAGTAACTGCGGGAGAGTGCATAATATGGAGTAGCGAATGCACGGTCGTCGGATTGGACGTTGCGCAAGACCCGGCAACACGCTCGACCCTGAACTCAATTCGGCCACCATTTTGCAACTAATCACTGGTCGTTGTGCTTCAGGTGGTCCTCGCAGGGCGTTGCCGGCACAAATGTAAACATTTACAGGCTATGGCCGAACGCACGAGGCCAATTCGGACGTGCTCCCGCACGTCGTACACCATTCTCACTATCCTTGTTCTAGGTATTGTCACCTAACGTGAATTTAACATTGAATACTCCGTCGTTCTCGTAAATTGAGTGTGTAGAGTTCAGTTGTATGTAGGCGAAATATCAAATATGTGACATTTACAAGTATATAGTACCTTTGCTTAAGAATTCACCTACGCTATTAATATTGCAACTTCCTATTTAGTAATGACCAATGTCCGACCAAGGTTTGTCAAGTTTGCGGATAGATATCCGCTCTTTGATTGCGTTTAATGTCAATAATACTCCATTCGGTTTACCTTGGACTATAGTATAATTAATTATAGGGTAATTATCGAAAAATTTATACACATGTTGAAGTGGACAGGTTTGATAAGTGTGGAAATATGTGGACGTGATTAGTTTTAATATTTAAAAACCACAGGAACTTCAGCATTATTTTTAATGCATGTACAATAATGTTATCTTGTAGCGAATTAAATTTATGGCGTCAACGTTTGAACGTAAAACTCAACAAAGCATTAAATAAATAGTATACCTATTGTGATTTGTATAAAATCTTTGAATTATTTATCATATTGACCTTCTACTTAGCATAGGTGAAAAAATTAAATGTAATAATTATGATAATAACTGTTTTATACCAGTTTTTATTTATATAAGTGTATATTTAATGGACACTGTTTGTATTAATAAGGAAACTGATATTTAATTTACCTAATTTTAAGTTCAACGCCCATTTCGTTAACCAATTTATAAGAATTAAACGGGAGTCAAGCCACAATATTTTAAAGTTTTCATATAAGTTAATTACACAAATCAATATTCGCAAATATCATTAGAGCGATATCTAATATACAAATATTTACAGCAGGTATCGAATGGCATTGGTAAAACTTGATTATTTTAAAATTCAATATAACCCTGTTGACAAGACGGGTTACTTTCTGACTCAAATTAGGCATTAACTTTTCGATAAGTTTAAATATCTTTTAGGTATTATCTTATATATTATCTATGGACTTTGAATTTATAGGTAAACTATAAATCAACTATCGTTATTTTAAAGTATTACTTAGAATAGTCTTCATTGCGTTTGACAGTAAACAAGAAAATACTCGTTGCGGCAATACAACGTCCTTTCCTTGGTTAGTTGGAAAAGAACTTTATGCTAGTCATGCAGGTGAGTTTACTCAAGAGAACTAAGGTTAAATCTATTCATTGCCAAAGATAATGGTATACCGTGTTGCAATGAATGCACAGTTTATGTATTTTACGAATGAACCTATTTCTGTTTGTAAATGTTGTTAATGATCAGATGTTATGGGTTTTAATCTCATGTCAGTGGCCAGGACGTGACCTAACCTCACACGTACACCGCTTTGTGACGACCGACGCGATGGGCATACAAACGCTTGCAACTGCCTTGATGAATCCTTGGCTTCAAAACCGTACTCCTTTCTTAGACTATTGCATTTAATGATCACTCGATTTACACAAATCACTTCGTTAAGTCCTAATTTTGAACATACAAATCCAGGCGCTGTGGGTAACACACCAAAGGTAAGAAAATGCTTGAGCGGAATCAAGTATTTGCTCATCGTCAGTTTACATAAGGTATGATCATTAGAATGGCGTGTCCTTCGTGTTTTATAGTGTTTGAGAAGTAATTTTATGTGTTTTTCAATTTTGCGCTTCGTCAACGATCACAATCGATTTCCTCAGCAGACAAATAGACGTTTACAAATGTTTTCATAACAAAATGCAACGTGCAAGTATGAGTTTCTCGCTCATTGATTTATTATTTCTATATTATTAGTATAAATAAGAGTTGTATATTTACTTATAAAAATATTTGAAAGTATTAATATATGTTAAAGAATTAATATAGAAGAACACTTAATTTACATGTCATCAACGATTTTTCAATCACATGATTCGGACCGATGTCATAATTGCGATCACAGTCGTCTCATCTCTTACCTAGGGTCCTCAGGTGCAGAGCCCGATTCCTTTCCAGAGGTTAGAGCACACACACTACCCGAAAGTGAACAAGCGCCCTCCACGTAACATATGAAAGTGACGTTAGGGTGCAAACGAGCGCAAATGGCGCGTAAATCGCGGAAAGTTATGCGAAAACTGCGCCTGCGCCACGTGCAAGCGTGTCTCGTACTGCCTCCGCGCGCGCCTTCCACGCTCTTTTATCACATCGCCCGTTGCCCGCCTTCAACTTGACTTTTTGCCGTTTGACGTCAGATTAATTATTTTAACGTTAACTAAAATATACGTTTTAGTAAAAAAGTAAGCACGTTGAGATTTCTCAAATAAATGGATAAACTTTGGAATATAGTATTTTTTTCAAATCTTATATAAAAATCTAATACATTAATTTCTTTCAACATATCTACAGAAACTAGATCCGTAATCGTATGTAATCCTTATATGAGAGTGACCAGTATGAGAGTATCTTGTGCCAGTCAACCTAGCTATACCTATGATCTGCTGCCCTGAGTTTCATTAATGGCAAAAAATACAATATATTATATATATATATATCAATCAAAGAAAACATAGACATCGTGCCAAGAATAGTCTCAGTTATGGGTCTTAAGCACAATTATTATTCTCTAAGGTAAATTTCCATCTACGATTGTGGTCATGACTGTAAGGGAATAACAAAGTATTTTCTAGTAAATAAATTATCTAATACTTTATTAGAATAACCATATTAACACGTGTCTAATACACACATCCGTTATATTCATTAAATCACAAATCGACATTTTTTACTGATTGGCGTGTTACTTTTTATAAACGAGTACACAAGGTGCACACAAAGGACAAAAAAGCAATAGACAAATCCTCTAATAACTTACATTAATTAATTTGTTACTTGTTGATTGAATATTAAGTATCTATTGTGTTAATAGTAATAAGGCAATAGGTACTTAGCAAACAAAATTAAAATTATAATAGTAGTGTAATTTAAAGGTCAGAGTTATTACGTATATACGTAAAACTATTTACCCTGTTTGTACCTACGATAATTAATTGGTAAAGGCAATTATAAGGTCCATAAAATCTGCAAATATTGAAGACATAATCATAACTCTTTATGTCAGTTATTGCATTGATTATAATTGTCAGACAACCCTGTCATTGAACTTTAACATTGAAAACCTTTTCGAACCTAGCACTGCGGACTATACATGGTAAATATATAAATCTAATCACATAATTACGATATCGACTTCATACAAGAAAGACTACAGATGAAAAGTACTGGAAAAAAGTTTTATTTATGAAAGTTTTTTTATGTAATAGGAGGCAGGAGGCTCATCTGATGTTAAGTGATACCTCCTAGCCCATGGACACTCATATTACCAGAATGCACGAAAGTGCGTTGCCGGCCGTTTTCTACCGATTCAAATTTAATGATGTGAAATAAGTGATACCTTTTCCTTTATTCCAAAATAAACATATTTTATTTTTATTTTATTTTAAGAATTGGTACGTTCTTTTCTAAAGTAAGTCGAATTGGTTCCGAAATACTTCAGTGGGCAGCTGGTTCCACATAGTGGTGGTGCTCGGCAAAAACTGCCTGAAATGCGTAGTTTTGGAACGACGGACGTCGATGTGATAGGGATGGTATCTTATATTCTGGCTTGACCTCCTTGACCGGCTTGTAATGAAAGCATGGTCGGCTTCGCAGTCTCTAAATGATAGTGGACAGCGTGGAGTTGAACCCTCTAACATTTGTGAAGTTCACGGCGAGTGTGGAAGGTAGCCTTTGTTGGTTTGGTCAGTTTGCCCCGATATCGATGAGATCTATGGTGGTCGTAGAGTGCAGAATTGCTTCCCCCCAGAATACATCCACTACCGGGTGCTGAGCGACCGGTGGAGGACGCCCAGAGGGGGAATCTACACCGTGAGCGTGTGCGGTACCCCCCTGGTGTAGTTTCTGTTTGTTCTGCACCTTCATATTTTTTGGGAAGGGGGGGATCGGCTTCGGGAATCTCATTCACCGCACGAAACGCGAGCACAATAAAGCGAACCTATTGCAACACTTCACGCCGGTTTTCTGAGAGACAGTGGTACTGCCCCGGTCGTGCCTGCCCATTTGGCTGAAGCCCGAAGGCAACAGCATGGCACTCCCACTAGGAAGGGGTGACTGATTGCGCTGATAAAATAACCTCTGTCAGGTTATTTCACCAGTGGGGGATGGGGTCGTCACGACCCGACGCCCGAAAAAGCGAATGCGTTGTTTTACAATTATAGACAGACAGTCTGCACCCGAGTACTTCCTCATCAACAGCAGACTCTTTTTTGACATAATATAATTCTGGTTAACGCTAAATAATCAAGTTCAAATAGTATCTGCAATGTCAAGATAATCATGAATACCATCAGGAAAACAGAGAACAAAACAAATAAACAAAAGCAAACAGACACATAACGTTAGAGTGATGTATTGGAGCTCTACAATTGGCAGTGCTTACTACGCAGATCATAACGAAGCAAAGATACTGTGCTTATGTACACAATTAGTTTGTTGCGTAAATATTTCAGACGAAATTTGATAAACTTTAACTTAAGTAATTTCTTTAACATCAGCTATTTATACTTACAGCTGACGAATCGTTAAATAAAATGAAAAACTCAGTTCTATAAAGAAGAATATTCGTTATATTCTTTAAACCAGTTGATATTTGTTAGGAAAATTAGACCTCACTGGCTTGTCGTCTCAGATTGTCGCTAGTATCGTATAACATATGACTTATTTAAGCATACAGAAAAAAACGGAAACTGTTCTGATATTTATTTGTACTTAAACTAAACCCGTTTTGTATTAAATGTTGTCGACGAAAATCATGAATTTAATATAAATTCAAGGTTCTGACGCGCGAGGTACTATATATATATATTCCTAACTTGATTGCGCACATTTCAATTGGACATCCCGGAATATTTATTTTCATCTGATTGTAGTTATAAATTAAAAGAATATGGTGATCCAAGATGTGACATGTGTCTGTTCTTCTCTGGGGTGTTAGGGCAAGCTAATATCTTATTTTGTATAGACATTAAATAGAAAATGCTGTTTAAAAATGTAGATTGTAATGTAAAAAAGAATAAATTATTCTTTATTAATAATCTCCATTGATTATGCATCGTTCGTATCCGGTTCAACAGGTTTTTCACCGTAACCCATTGGGTTATTATGCTTTACATTCCATAAATTAATAATAAATTATATAGGAAATTTTTAAGATTACAAAAATAACTTGATACGATGTTTCGATTCTTAAAGGATTTTACGCAGGATTTTAGTAGTCTTAATAATAATATTATTTAAAGTAGTGTTGGCCTAGTGGCTTTAGCGAGTGACTCTCATCCTTGAGGTCGTAGGTTCGATCACCGGCTGCCTTATATCCAAATAGTTGACGGCGTGTGTCAGACACCTGTTTGCCTATTAGATCGACAAATGATCATGAAACAGATACAGAAATCTGATGCCCCGACCTAAAAAGGTTGTAGCGTCACTGATTTATTTAATAATAATGTAAATTTAATATTTATGCATGTGACTAACTGTATGGAAAGCTATTTGCATGATAAATTGATGGTTTGTTTAGATCTTATGGCATTTACCTAGATTATTTATCCGGTATTTTTTTATAATAAATTGTCTTCTTTATTTTCATAATTTAATGACGACATGGTAATTAATGATTCAACTAAGCGTTAATCGTGCTTTAATATATTTATAGTCGTCACAGATTAAGTAGAACCTTCAAAATGTTTTGAAATAAAATGTTTTCGATTTTAAATACTACAAGTATTTTTTTATTATAATTATTATGAATCGTTTTAAATTTGAATTTTACCTTCGTCCCGGCACATAACTTGGGCATAGTTTTCTAACTAGAAATCTAAATCAAATGCCTACCATTCTTGGTAGGCATTTGATTTAGATTTCTACACATCTTTAGGACTGCGGACAAGTACACAATTTATGTTTACACCCCTTGAATCAGCTGATCTATTTAAAAAATAGTAAAGTTAAATTAAATAAAGTTATCTTGTCTGGAACGCAATCATTATTTTTTGTTAATAGGTATTTTTATAATTATAGTTTGGTTTTACATGAAGCATTGCCTTCTTTTGTTGTCCAATGTGTTATTATAAACATATACAAATATATTATATATAAAAAACCTCGCATTCATTTATTGTTTAATTATTGTTTATTTCAAGAATCGGAAAATCCAGTTGTGTGTTTTATTCACAAATTTTCCATCTCCCATCGAGCTTACGCGCGAACGAGTTATTTTGTATGATTGAACCATATCAAGGCCAAGAAATAAGTATACATTTTACATTAATAAACATGGCCGAGGTGTGTGTTTTTTTTGTCAGTAAATACCCACTCTATTTCGGTTTGTCGTGTAAAGGGCTATTCAAGTTATAATTTTAAAGAAAACATAAAAACTATTCAGCGGTTAAGGTACGTAAACGTTTAATACTGTCTTCCGGTGACAATGCTGATAGAGTTGATGTGGTAATTAAATTACGTAGTTAATTAATACAAAAATTACGT